CGATCAAGGTTAAAACCTTGAAGGATGGCCTTGAAAATCCGCGTAGGACCCAGGCCTGGGTCCTACGCGGATGTTCAAGGCCATCCTTCAAGGTTTTAACCTTGATCGATCGCCCGGTCAAGGTTCTCACCATAAATCGGTCATCGTTAAACGTATATACATAGACGTATATGCGCCAGGCCAACCCATACGACCCAACCCTGGGTCGTATGGGTTGGCCTGGGGCACATCGCTCAAGGTTTTAACCTTGAACGATGACCGATCAAGGTTAGAACCTTGACCGGCCATCGATCAAGGTTAAAACCTTGAAGGATGGCCTTGAACATCCGCGTAGGACCCAGGCCTGGGTCCTACGCGCTGACTCAATCTCCGGGGGCGGGGTTCGGGTCCATCCCCGCTTGCTGGGTTCCTCACCTCCCATTCCTCCCCTCCTCCCATCCATTCCTACCCTTAACCACCACCTCACTACGACCGACTTGAATACGAGACCCCGCCGGACCCCACGCGCCCTATCGCACTCGCCGACCGACCCGACCGGACCCCAGAGCCCCCAAAACCCGTTCGGAGCAGGAGAATCCACGCCCGCCCGATTTCAAGCCGATCCGACCCGATCCGACCCGATCCGATCCGGCACCGAAAAATTGTTACCTGGGGTCAAAAATTGTAAGGATTATTTTTTTTTGGGTTTCCATCCCCCTAAAGGGGTCCAATTTTAGGTTTTTAGGTTTTTTGTTTTTCTTGGGGGCTCAAGCCCCCTAGGGGGGCCAAATGCAGCCTGGTTGCAATGCATCTTCCCCTCCTGGGGGGCCCAAGGCCTGGTTGCAAGATCTCCGCCCGACAGGGGGGCCCAAGGGGGTCCCCCAGGAACCTAAGAGCCACCAAATGGGCCAATTTGCCCCCCCCCCCCCTGGCCAGATATCCAGCCATGTGGAGAGGCCCAAGGCCCTATGCAACTGAACGGCCCCCATTTGCCCCAACTCCTCTCAGTCAACCCTAGGCGTAACCACCCAATGTGCCTGCAATTTTGGGAAAAAGCTGACTTGTTTGTTTGATTACCTTTTCAGACCAGCCGACCGACACCCCTAATTTCATCAACCCCCACCCTCAACCTGGATATGTCAACCGGGAATGATCAATCACGTAAGATTCATGTTTCACTTGAATGTGGCCCACTGGTCATCCACCCCAGCTAACACACTTTGCATTATCTGTTTCCATAGGTTTGGACCTCTACATGAAGGCGCAGGAGCTGGATAGTCACCCGGCATTGAAACCTAAAGAGCAGGCGCACGTGAAATGCCTCTTGGCACTTATCAAGGCAGATATTGAGAATTCGGATGACGAGGATGAAGAAGAGCACCAAAGTAGAGACATTCCGAATGATCCACCCTTCTCGGCAAACAGTTTAGCCGGTGCTGGTGCGGCTCATCAGATCAGAGATGATGCAACAGGTCTTCCTGCTCCCAATCACTCTCTTCGATCAACCACACCCTCTGATCGACCCCCTGTGGATTTGTCCTTGCCAACCCGTCCCGACCTCAATTGTCCAACACCGACCCGTGACATCCATCGGGAGGGCGACTATTTTGCATTGCCAAGTCCGATCGGCCCCCCTCGCACCGCATGTTCCTCGTTTGCTAATTTCTCAAGGGTTGATCCCCCATCTGTTGTTGACAATGGGTTACCAAACGTGCTCAACCCGGCCTATGCATACATCTCTGATGACCCGCCTCGCCGAAAGAATGCCAATGGAGAGACCTCTATCTTGACAGCTGAAGGGGATAAATTATACGATTCAATTATGGCCTCAGTCAACAAGGAACAGCTACCTCCTCAGAATAATCCAGCCCCACCGGTGCCCACCCCTTCAATCAATAAACAAGTGCAGCCAGCCCCACCAAAACACCAGACGCAGCGTCGAGAGGTCATTCACGAGCGACAAGAGAGGCGCCCAAACTACCGCTTTGACAATGTCAGACTAGAGGGGGTTGAAGACAATGACACCGCGCGGGGAAAAAGGAATAGGATTGATGACTCTGATGACGATGCGGTTGTGGGAGGAGCCACCGGGAAGTCTACAAGAACCAGGATTGAAGACTCTGAAGGCAACACGGACGCAGAGGGTTCTACCGATGAAGAATACGTCTCAAAAGAACAAACTTGCCAGGTTGCGGTCATTCTGGACCATGGAATTGGTCGCCCAGCCCCCTTCAGACAAGGCCCACAGGCTGACCCCAGCCCACACGTTCATCCGTTGTTGGACGATTTTGCTTCGTGGGATTTGTTGAGCAAGATGAACATTCCTCGGAGCCCAATGCAGGGGGGGAGCAGGCAGCCTGCCAGCGGGCCAAGTAGAAAGGGGGCAGGTGGTGAAGGACCTCGTGGGCCTCAGTCGGCACGTGCTCCTTGTAAGTGCTTCTCAATGGATGATTCATCTGTTTTCATGTGCTGATTTTGGTCTGTATGGTTCCGTAGCTGTGGAACTCTTTGTCCCTGGTGTAGTTTTGCCATCACAGGAGGTCAATCGATGGAACACTGAGCTTTCTGGTGGGATCAAATGGACACACCAATCGACTCAATCCTCCCTTGCGAATATCAAGTATATACTCGAGCATTTGCCTCCCCTGATTTCTGCACACGACGCGATCCCTAAAGATTGGAGTCATCGGATTTGGATGGACATTGATCGAACATCAAAGGCTTGTGAAACAGGTATGTGAAATTCATGTGGCAGGGGGTTTGTGGGAATTCATAATGAATGTCTGTGACTTTTTTCTTCAGAGGATATACTCAAGACTGCGGGGAATTTGTCTCTCATCACGTCCGACATGGTTGATATGGAACAAATCAAAACTTTCCAACTGACGGAAAGGTTAACCGGCAACCACACGGCGCGCTACTACCGCACTTGGCCAGCTTTTTTGCCCCTGGGAGATTGGCATATATTCGACTGCAAGCGGCATTACAACAGACTTGGGCTATGCAAAAGATGACACAGATGAAAGACACTTGGATCCCTCAGGCCTTCGACAATAGTAACAACGTGTATACGGCCTACACCCATCTCTGCGACGGGTACGAGAACATGGGTGGGAAGTTGGGCGACAACTCTGCATCAGAACCTGGCGTGATGTTGTTAATCCAGTATTTCATCGGGGCTTTGGCCGGTTTGGCCTACCTTTCTGGTGGCTGCATTCCCAAACCAAAGCAGACAAAAATTAATGTGTACCGCACCAAGCACCACCTTCATCATGTCCAGATGCTTGCAAATCTCATGATTTTTGGTCCAACTGCAGCCTTCACTGCTTATCGCATGGGCCCTCACGTTACTCTTTCGAATGCTCTTTCTTTGTTGGAGGTTGGTGCAAGTCTGCTCAAACAAAAAGTTGATCACGGAATCACGGCCCCAATGCCTCACGCGATTTTGGACAACCTTTGGCTTTATTTCTTGAAATTTATCATCAAGATGGGTTTCACCAATCTCAACGACGAAGGGGTCCCACAGGTGAATTGGAAGGACGTGCATGAGGCGTTCTACCATGAGTTTGCAACACATGTGATAACACACATGTTTGCACAAGACATAGAAATTGCTTTGGCTGAGAAGCGTTTTGGAGTTGATTAATTGCATTGAAAATGCCTTGACTTGGGTTCCTGATATGTGTGGTGTACTTGTTTCCTCTCTGATATAATGATATTATATATGATCAAAACATAGTTACAAGGAGCTTTGTGTGGAATGATGAGCTTCTGTGAACACAATTGATTTCCCTTGGATTTAACACATGATTGGTCTCCTGGTTTCCCTTTCTCTTTGGATAATATGATTGCTCCAATGAGTGTGCACTGAATTGTACTACAATTGACATACAATTGTGGTTTTGATGGGGGCACAATTAGTAGTAGGGATACAACTCACGATGAGGCCCTATTGTGGGGATGAGTTATTCACAATAGATTTCATAAAATATAAATATAATGAGATATGAAGCGTTCATTGCTGAATAAGCTGGTTGTATAGGTCTATATTAGGTTGAATAGCAGTCAACCATTGAGCCATGGACGCATTTTCCAGGCGCGTGCGCAATTGGAATGACAGAGGGGGGATAGGGATGAGACCGCGCTTGGGGATAACTAACTCCCAATGGTTGCCCCGTGTGAAGGCTATTAGTATGGGACCCATTGGTTTAGGGTCTGGGTCTTTCGAGCTTGGTAAGTTAGTGATACACCCAATGTTTACCTCGGCTGAGAGGAAGACAATGGGCCTGTTGTATGCGTTTGCCAGCACAGGTCCCATGTCCAGGCGTTCCATCCACTTGGAATATGGGACTGATGTCGAGTTGGGATCGACAACAAGGGATTCACGGGCCCTCTTGTATTCGTTGTCGCTCCCAAACCTCCTTGTCCAATGCGCTTTGTTGTTGTCGAGCTCGTTGATCAGATCCTGGCGGACCTGATACCACCCGTTGGTCTTTGCGTACAAGCTCTCGGGCTTCTCAAGTGCCATATGGCGCGCCACGCAAGAGTAACCACAGTTTCCATCGCCCGGTGGATCATATGTCGATTGGACATGTTTTTGCACCCAGGCAGGGAGCTCATTATGGGCCGCCTCCTTCATTTGATGTAGAATAATTGGATGGTCAGTAAGTGCTGCACTCAGAAGACGGGGGAGTGGAACCAGGCAATCTGCCTTACCATTGCTTTTGGTGCAGTCACCAGGGTGCTTCATGGGGGTGGCCCATGGTCGTCACATACTGGGCTCCTGTGGGGTCATAGCATCTGATCAGTCAGTGTCATAGGGCCTTCCGGTCTGGTAGCTCACCTGGGG